AGCACTGGCTGTGCTTGCAGAGGATTGTTAGCCACCATGTGGATGCTGGGAACTGAACCCATGTCCTTTGCCAAAGCAACCAGTACTATTTTTTTAAATATTATTTTTTTGTGTGTATGTGTATATTGCCTGCCTGTAAGTGCACCCATGTCATGCAGTGCCCGTGGAGGACAGAAGAGGCTGTCATCCCCTGGAACTGGAGTTACAGTTGTTAGCTACCATATGGGTGCTGAGATTCGAACCCGGGTCTTCTGCAAGACGAGCCAGTGTTCTTAACCACTGAGCCGTCTCTCCAGCCCTGCAACCAATACTATTAACCACCAAGCCATCTCTCTACCCTCCCCCCCTTTTCATTTTTAAATAATTTTAATCTGGGTTGACAGGGTGACCAAGCAGCAGGTAAAGGTACCGTCCACCAAGTCTGACATGAGTTCAGTCACTGGGTGGAAGGAGAGAACCAGCTCCTACAAGTTGTCCTCTGATCCCTACATGTTCCCTGTGGCACATGCATGCATGTGCACACACAAATAAAATTGGAAAAAAAGTAATGATTTTAACCTTAAAAGGCTATTACAAATTAGTATAAAAATTCACCGAACACTTTAGCCAGAGTCACCATCTTATAACATTGGGCGTGCTTGTTTGACCTGCAACCCTGACACACACTTATATAACTACATACATGTGACTTACTTATATGTTCCTGAATCACTTGAGAGTGAATTGTATATATTATACTCATTACTTCAATCATCAGTGCATCTAAGAATCTGAGCATTTTCTTCTGTAAATGAGGCACATTCATGAACATTAGCAGTGAGAAACTTTTTTAAAAATATTTTATTGATTCCCTTTAAGCCCAGCACTCGGGAGGCAGAGGCAGGCAGATCTCTGTGAGTTCAAGGCCAGCCTGGTCTACACAGTGAGTTCCAGGACAGCTGGGGCTACAGGGAGACCCTGTCTCAAAAAGACAAAAAAAAAAAAAAGAATTTAATGCAATATATTTTGATCATATTCAGACTCCCCCTCCTCCACCTTCACTCCCACCACCACGCCCTTCGTGTACTCAGTTATCTTCTTTTAAGGTCTGTGCAGTCTAGTTTGTATTCCCCAGTGCACTCGGGTATATATGTCCATCCCCTGGAGCCTGGTCAGTCTACCAGGCTGCACATCCTTAAAGAACACTGACTCTCCCTCTCCCAGCAGCTATCAGTTGCCAGTAGTTCCTCAGCTAGGGCTGGAGTCCCTTGCCCAGCTCCCCTCACCCCGTCCGTGCTGGGTGTTTTGTCTAGCTCCGGCTTCCGTAGGTCTTGTGCATACTGTCACGAGCTCTGTGGATTCAGTTGTGCAGTTGCCTGTTGTTTCCTTGTACTCATCTACAACCTCTGCTCTTAGAATCTATCCTCTCAATGACTTGTGCCCATAGATGAGGGTGTCTCTCAGCTGACACCAGAGACTTCTTCATCAAATGTCAATTAACAAGGCCCTACAGCTGGTCAACGTGCAGAAAATAAGATATTGATGAGTCCTCAGCATCCCCTGAGCCCTTCAGTCTCTGTTCTTTGCCGTCACTCTTTTCTGTTAGTTCTCTGGAACTCTTCAGCCACCTTCCGGGTACTGGGAGTGCAGCCCCAGGAGTTGTCTGTTCCTTTTATCACCAGCTCAGTCCTGTCCACCCATGATAAAGGCCTAGACTCAGCGATGAAACCTGTGCAAGAAGGCATTAAGGGCTAGATTGCGGCGCAAGGCACAGTGCGGAAGTGGGAGACCTCCTGAACTGACCCCAGGAGATTAAGCAGAGGGCTGTTTATATATCTAGTCCCACAGTACACGCCTTCTGTTTGCTAGCCACATTTTGCTTAGTCATATCAGCCTGCCCAGGCATCCCTTACCAGCACCCATGATGTAGGCATCTTGAACGGCTGTCACAGTGGATGTAACTTTACTGGGGTTGTCACCAAGTGTGTGATGTGGTAACAACTGAAGCAGAGCCTCCTGATGTGGCAGTTACCCCCTAGGAAAGAAGCAGCAGGGTCTGATAGAACTCCCCAAGGGCCCTAACTGAACTGAAGTCTCCCGAGAGGTCATGACCCAGTTTTCTTTTATGTCTTACTTCTTTGACAGTTTCATACATCTGTGTGCCCACCAGTCATCCTTTCTAAACACTCTCCTATTGAACTCCTTTCCAATAAGTTCCCATCCTACTTTCTTGACCTGTAGTCAGAGAGCAGCACTAATCTGTGGGTGTAAACGTAAATATTTAAAAGGCAGTTTGACACCATGTCCACTTAGCAAGGCCACAGTAGTGGATTTCCACTTGGGACATAGGTCATGATGCATTTCAAGCAGCCCCCTGACAGCTCCCTTGATCCAGGAAAAGGGGTTAGTGGATTGACAGCTTCAGTGGGATTTTTGAGTCTGGATAACAAGAGCTTTTGTTATCAGATGTAAACATTGATTATAAAGATGGAAAAATTTAAACAGTGTAGTTATGATGGAAGAACAGTAGGCAAATCACCAGGATAAATATAGTACTTTGTTAACTGTTTAAAAATAAAGTTAGATCCCAACTTTAAGTAACCCACCAAAGAAAATTCAGTTAAATAAGCTTAATAGTAAATGAAACCACCCAAATACTAGAAGACAATGTTGAGAATTTTATCAGCATTTTTCAACTTCTGCACAATCGAAAGTTTGGACTGGGCATTCTTTACTGGAGGCAGAGGCAGGGGCCGTCATGTGTATTGTTCGTACTTAGCAACATCCCTGGCCTCTATCCAGAGATATAAATAGCAGGTCCCCAAGTCATGGCAACCAAAATGTCTCCAGACATTGCCAGATGTCTCCTGGGAAAGATGGCAATCACCCTGGTGTAAACCACTGGTCTCCATCTTATTAGAAGCAGAGCTCCCAAGAGTCAATCACAAAGGGCGAGTCTACAAGTTCTGTATGTATTAGAAAAAAAAATTGTTTAAAGAAACTTTCAGAATTGAAACCAAGCAACCAATCAAAATCTATGTAGCATAAATGCATTCACCTCTCAGAAGGAGGACTGAATAACAAGAAATCTAAATAATTGGATTAATACTCCAGACATCCATTTACTAATAATCACGATGTTTAGGTTTACAAAACATGCTTAAATAAATTGCAGATTTGGACTCTGCCGTCCATATTAGTAGACCTGGCATGAATGTATTCAGCGACTGTGGGGGACAGCTTCCAGAGTGATAGAAGGGTAAGTGAACAGAGCAGGGATGATGTGCAAGGTAATGCCTTCCATACGTATAGCGTGTCCCTGCAACTCTGATTCTGGTGCTACATGTGGGAATCACTAAGCTGTCAAGATTCATCAAAGTGTTATCGTAATTGCTAGTATAGGGAACCACCTTTCCAACACTAAGGACCTGGTCAAAGTAAACCCCTTCTTATTTATGAATACGTTAGATGGTTGTTGTTATTGATGAAGCACAGACACGGGAAAATGGATGGATCCCAGAGGCTCCAGTGACAGAATGGTGTGTGTGCATTTATGCATCTCTGAGATGACTGATCGATACCACTTCTTTTCCCTGTTTATATAAGATTTTTGACCGAAGTATTACAGAATTGTCATTTTACATTTGTGTCTTCTAATATTTCTTCCATGAACATGAATAATTTGTACAATAAATGTTTTTAAGGGAGAACTAAAGTACTTTTAGGGCCTTGGTGTGCTGTCTAGCTGCTCAAAACCCAGGTTCAATGTTCAGCACCATAAAAAGATATTTTCTTATACTTTGTCTCAATTCCAAATTTTAAAAATTTATTGAAATTAGGATATTTTTTTCTTTGGTCTTTTTGAGAGGTGGTCTCCCTATAGCCGCAGCTGGCCTGGAACTCACTGCATAGACCAGGCTGGCCTTGATCTCATAGAGATCTGCCTGCCTCTGCCTCCAGAGTGGTGGGATTAAAGGTGTGTGCCACCACAACCAATGAAATTAGGAAATTTTTAAAACACAAAATTTTAAATAGCAACAAGAATTTTCTACCGTGATATTCATGAAAATATTATTTATAACTGAAAAAGAAAGATAATGTGAGTGCTCTGGAAAAATTATCCATATGGTGGACAACTCTGCCTGTACAGGGGAAAAGGTGTTTTGAAAGTCAATGTAAAAAACAAGTTTAGAGCCAGGTGTGGTGGCACAAGCCTTTAATCCCTACACTTGTGAGTCAGAGGCAGATGGATCACTGAGAGTTTGGAGCCAGCCAGGGCTACAAAAATTAATCAGTTAATCAAACAAATAAACGAGCATGGTAGCAGATGCTGTAATCGCAGCAATTGAAAGCAGGAAGTTCAGGAGTTCAAGACCAGCCGCAGCTACCTGGCATGTTTGAGGCCAGCCTCAGCTACATAAGACCATAGCTCAAAAAAAAAAAAAAAAAAAAACAGCAAAACAAAGCAATAATAAAGTGAGTAACAGTCTAAGTTGATATTGTCGTACACCAAGAGTGATTGTTTCCATACTGAGGCGCTGTTGGTAATCAGTTCAGGGGGAGGGGCGGTCACTTCAGGGGTGTAGCCACTGGTAAGTTGCCCATGATCTAATCATTAACACCCATGAACACAAGCAACCCCAAGTAAACTCAGTGGGTTATTAATTAATTTAAAAGACATGAAGGCAGGAAGGGGACATGTTAGGAAGAAGGTTCTGTGCAGTGTGGGGAGAGGCTAAGAGAGGAGAATGGAGCATGGTTCTGGTCAACATGCATCATGTACATGTGTGAAGCCATCAGGGAATAAATAAAAAATCATTTAAAAACAAGAAACCTTTCAGCAGTGTTCACCCAAGTTCTTCTCCAAAGTAAAACATGTCTCACAAATGAAGAAAAAGTGGTTGCTATCAACCATGTAAATATAAATGAATAGTCTAAATTTAGAGTTAAGACGAAGCACAGAACTCTCCTGTGTATACCTTTGTCTTCGCTAACATGGAATTCGGTTTATCGTGTCACAGGTTGCGTCAGGTGAATGCAATGAAGATACGGAAGTTTACAACATCACCCTGTGTACTGGGGATGAGCTCACCCTGATGGGACAGGCAGAAATTCTTTATGCAAAGACCTTCAAGGAGAAGTCACGACTCAACACCATCTTCAAAAAGATTGGGAAGCTCAACTCCATCAGCAAGCTGGGGAAAGGCAAGATGCCATGCCTCATTTGCATGAATCACCGGACCAATGAAAGCATCAGCCTTCCCTTCCAGTGCAAGGGCAGATTTAGCACCCGAAGCCCCCTGGAACTTCAGATGCAGGAGGGCGAGCACACCATCCGCAACATCGTGGAGAAAACCAGGCTCCCTGTAAATGTGACAGTGCCCAGTCCCCCACCCAGAAACCCCTACGACCTCCATTTCATTAGAGAGGGGCACCGCTACAAGTTTGTGAACATCCAGACCAAGACGGTGGTGGTTTGCTGTGTGCTGCGGAACAACAAGATCCTCCCCATGCACTTCCCTTTGCACTTAACCGTCCCCAAGTTCAGCCTTCCAGAACACCTGGTGAAGGGAGACGGATGGCCTGAAACCCTGGTCCATCACTGGCTTGGTATCTGCCAAGAGCAGTTTGACATTGACGAGTATTCACGGGCTGTCCGTGACGTGAAAACGGACTGGAATGAAGACTGTAAGAGCCCCAAGAAGGGCCGATGCTCTGGCCACAATCATGTACCCAATTCCCTCAGCTACGCCCGCGATGAGCTGACCCAGTCTTTCCACCGGCTCTCAGTCTGTGTGTATGGCAATAATCTCCATGGCAACAGCGAGGTGAATCTCCATGGCTGCAGAGACCTGGGGGGAGAGTGGGCCTCTTTTCCTCATGACATCCTTCCCTATCAGGACTCCGGTGACAGTGGGAGCGACTACCTTTTCCCAGAAGCTAATGAAGAATCAGGCATCCCAGGGAAGTCCGAACTTCCATATGAGGAACTGTGGCTGGAAGAAGGCAAGCCCAGCCGACAGCCTCTCACTCGCTCACTGAGTGAGAAGAGCAGGTGTGAGCCATTGAGAGGCTCCATCCGATCCAAATGTGCAACTTCTCCTCTTCCTGTCCCTGGGACTCTGGGAGCCACAATGAAGTCCTCAGACATTGCCCTACCTCCACCTCCAGTGCCTCCCAAATCTGAAGCCGTAAGTCATTTCTGTGTGTGAATGGTGTGCTGGTCTTCCTGCCTCTGTCCAGTTTTCACTTATTTTCTTAGAGAAAAGAAAACTTTCCCACTGAAGATTGTCAGAATGACATGTGTTTAATTTGGAATGAAATGCAGGTGTAAGCTCAGTTTTTTCACCAGGTGGTAGAGTTGTGCTGTTCTGGGTGAGAAACTCTGAGATGTTCTAACTGATGTTTAAACTTGACTTGCTGTTGCCTCGAAAATCATTACAGCCGCTGGGAGGCCAGGGAAGAGGCAGTTACAGTGGCAGATGTGTAAGTGGCAGTGTCTAGACGGAGCAGCTGTCAGTGGTGGGTGGGAACAGGAGAGACTGGCTTGAAGTTTTGCCAGCAGTGGTCAGTGGTGAAGCGGGTGTACAGTAAGCAAAAAAAAAACTGGATCATTTGCCTGCAGAACAGAGACTTGTTACCACTCTGGGGAGACTGGAAGAATACATCCGCTGGGGTTGAAATGGGAAGCCAGGGAGAGGGGACTCAAAAGGCCTTGGCATCTCCTGGAATTCTCCTGTGTCCCTGAAGTTATGCAGAGATCAGAGCATGGCAGTGCACACAGGCACCCACCCCCACTCCCAGGACCAGGTGCCCTGTGGTTCTGTTCAGACGTGAAAAGTACCTCAGCCTGATGCAGCATTTCTCAAGTTGTAGTGTAAAAAGTTCAGTCCAGGAATTGGGCATGCAAGTCCCTGGGGAGCCCGTACTGAGTGTTCCCAGCATCTCCCGTCAGTGCAGGAGGTGGGGGATATTAAGAACTAAAATCCAAACTTACCACCACCACTAAAACATAGATGGGGGCTGGAGAGATGGCACAGCAGTTAAGAACACTTGCAGAAGACCACATTGGCTTCCCAGCCCCCTGTCAGGTGGCTCACAATCACCTGTAACTCCAGTTCGTGGGATAGGATGCCCTGTCTGGCCTACAAAGGCACCCCCACACATAGATCAAAATAAATCTTAGAAATAGGAAGGCACTCTTCCTCTTGCTCTGCCCACCCTTTCCCCATTAACTGGTCTTGAACAACTCAGAAGGCCTGGAGCTGTGCAGAACCCACTTCCAAACCCATGGAAACATAGTGATAGCTGCTATAAATACAAACATTGTTAAGACTGAGACTCCGACTCTGGTACTATTCAGTTTTATGCAGAAGTCAACGAATGAAAAGAGATGCCATTGCCCAAGACATGAGAAACAGTAGAAGAGACAGGTAGCATGTGTGAATTCATAGCACAAAGTAAAGCTTCTGGTGGGGAATGAGTGGGAGAGACTTTGATGGAGATGATGGCATTTTAAGTGAGGTCAGAAAATATGCAAGAATTAGAGGAGCAGAGAGATGAGGGAGAAATCCCAGTGAAGCATGAAAAGGATATGGAGCGTGATTCAGCTTAAGTACAGAGTTCTGTTGAACCACTTCGATAGGTTGAGGGGGTACATGAAGGACAGGGGTCACCAAAAGGCTGGAGTCAGGACATGAACAGCCTGGATAGCTCGTAGATCATGCCAGGCATCTGATTGGCTGTCCACAGAATCTCACTGCTGATGGTTTCCCAACAGAGGATCCCCCTCTGGCTTCCCAGAGACTGCAGGGCTAGACTGTGTTCTGCCCCCTACAGAATCACCCAGAAGCCTTCTGGCAGACATACCTGTAGTCAGTAAGAGGTCATATAACATGTGGAGGATTCTTGAAGGTGCTGAGGTCCTCAGTCAGTAGGCCCCCTCCTAGCAAGCACTGGGCACCTTTAGCGATGTCAGAGCTCAATGGTGCATCTGCTGTAAGTTCACAGTTGGGCCTGCATCTTCATTAGGAACATGACTGCATGAGCTTTGCCTGGTAAACTTAGATCCTGCCTGGCATGCAGTGGCTGGCTCTCATGTTTGTTGACTGACCTGCTCATTGAGATGGCCACCCTTGGGGTCACTTTCATAACCAAGTCCAGAGGTAGGGAACTAATATCACTTGGTTTTCATTATTGTGGCTGTTTTGTGAAAAGATGAACAGGAGAACCCATGGAAGAGGTCCCATCTTGAACTTGCTTCTATAGGAGAAGCATTACACATAACTTTGAAGCTAAAAGCTAATCCCATAGAAAAAGAAAAGATTTGGGCTCCCATTCTAAACTATAATTTCCATGGCACAAGAGAATCATATTGGAACATGCCGTGTTTATAAAACACCATAAACATTTTATAAACACCTGAAAAGCATTTACCTTTAAAAGAAAATTTGTATATTTCTTATGAAGCCATTCTTTAATTGTTTCTCTGACCATGAAATGAATTTTTCCATTTTTAGGATGTGTGTGGGAACCAGGAAATGTCATGACTATTAGATGAGGCTTCAGCTGGTAATTTTCAAATGAGAGCTTTAATGGGGCATAAATTCAAGTGCTCCCACAGACTCAGTCAAAGATCTGCCTTGGATAGAGTACAGAGAGCACTGGGAGAGAGACGGGCCATGTGCCTTAACAACCATCCCTCCTAATTTAAAGATGGTGGTGAGCTTCCCAGTGAGGCTGTGTCAAGACAGAAACAACTTTCTCTGAAGTAAGACTAAATCTTTCTCTTTGGACGATCATGACTGTTTAGAATTACACTGTAATCACCTCATGTCTTTATAAAGATGACTTCATAGCGGTATTTAGCAGCATGCTGCCACTTATGTCTCAGGAATATGAGCAGTTATTCCCCCTTGACAGGAATGGCTCAGGAAAAAGCAAACAGTTCCTGGTTCCAGGGGAGAAGGGACTCAGCCACTTTCATCCTTCAGAACTGTTATAGTAGAGCCCGTGATAAGGAGCATGCCCAGCCCACTGTGGGTGCCATTGTCAGTTTCAAATTTTGCAAGAACAAGCAAGATGTACCTTACCCCCAAGCCTGATGACCTGAGTTCCATAGCCAAGATCCACATGATGGAAGAAGAGAACCAACTCCTGCCAGCAATCATCTGACTGCCACACTCACACCATGGCATAAGTGCACATACACACATGCACACACACGGATGGATGATAGATAGGTAGGTAGGTAGATACATCCATCCAGGGAACACTGTTCTGTACATGCTGACATTCTTTTTCCCCATTTTTAATGGAATTTTTATGAATTTCATGTATTTTGATCATATTTAGACATCCACCCTCCCCTATCTGCACCCCTCCCTGCCTGCTCGATTCAATGTACTCTGTTTCATAGATGATAGATAGATAGATAGATAGATGATAGATAGATAGATGGTAGATAGATACATAGATGATTGATTGATAGATACATACATACATACATACATACATATGTAGATAGATGATAGATAGATACATACATACATACATACATACATACATAGAAAGATAGATAGATAGATAGACAGACAGACAGACAGACAGATATGGGCAGATGACAATCTTCAATTTTTTTTTCCTTTTTGCCCCTCTCTCACTGTAAAAAATACCATTTTGAGGGCCTGGAGAGATGGCTCAGTGGTTGAAAATACTGGTTGTTCTTGCAGAAGACCTGGGTTCGAATCCCAGCACCCACATGGCAGCTAACAACTGTCCATAACTCCAGTTCCAGGGGATCCAACGGCCTCTTCTGTCCTCCGCGGGCATTACACAACATGGGTACACTTACCTACATGCAGGCAATACATGCATACACATAAAATAAAAAATAATAATATAAAATAAAAATTAAAAATACCATTTTGGAGCACAATTATAGGAATACTTGATATTGTATGAAATTCCTTAGCTAGAAGGACTCCCAGACTCCCTTGTTGTATGCAGCAAGTTGTAAATGGCTATCAACAGGGGGGTCCGGTGTTTCCCTGCAGGCCTTCAAGTCCACGTGTCCCAGGGACACCTGCACAGCAGTACTAACAGCAGCACTGTCCACAATAGCTAAGTTATAGGAGCCGCCTAGGTATCCAGCAGCAGAGGGGAAGATAAGGGAGATGCATTTCATCTACCAGTCAACATTTTTACAGCCATAAGGAGCAAAGTTATGCCATTTGCTGGGAAATTGATGCAACTGGAAATAATCATATTAAGTACATTAAACCAGTCTCAGATCAGAAAGACATGTGTATGTTTTCTGTCATTTGTGGTTCCTAGATTTTATACAGATACTTAAGCAAAATAATGCTGATGGATCTCAAGAACAAAACATTGAACAATATTTTCATCATGATTTCACTTCTATAACTTGTAAAGTATGAAGCAAAATGAATATATAAGACATGCTTATATATATATATATATATATATAAAACAGGAAAGTAGAAGCAGTTGAAGGACCAAGGAGACTAAAAAGAGTGGAGGAAAGAGGAGGGTCAGGGGTCAAGGAAGGGTACATAGTCAATATACAGTATGTATTTTTATGAAAATGGCCGTATATAACATAGTACCAGGTACAGTGAACATACAGGATGAAACTTCTAAAAGAAAAAAAATGAAATCTCAAGTGAAAATAAAATGGTAATAAAGTACAGGGTCTGGCTGGAGGTGGGAAGCTCGGTAACAGAGCACTTACGCAGCACGCACAAGGCCTTGGTTTCAATCCTCAGCAACAAAAACCTACAGAGTCACAACTCTTCAAAAGCCATTTGAACTGTGGGTCCCATTTGGGGATCCCCAAAATCCCACGACCCGCATCTGTATATTGACTTTTAGCTGCCTGTTGACACTGCCCATCCTCTAAGGTAGGTAAAAGGAAACGTTATAGAAGGAGCCCTGGATTGTGGGGCACTGATTTCAGCCAGGTTTGCTGATAGGTGATGAGAAGCAGGGTGTGAGCACTGAGCGACCGGTTGAAGCATGACGTCATTCACCAGTAGAGGGTCAGACACCCACCAGCAATAAAACCTCCATAATGAAGCACACCATGGTAGGACCGACTGGGCCCAGTCCAGTGGGTCCTGGAAGAGACTGATTTTAACTACAGGTTAGTGTCTGAGTCAACCTTGGGAAG